ATGATGCACAAAATATCACTTTTCATTGCTATTTTCTGCAATATATGATGCATATCATTGGTAGCATCCAAGGTATGAATCTCAATATTTCTTGGTTTCAGGCTTAAGCAGTCCAGAAGGTATTGCTATTGATTGGATTAGTAGAAACATGTACTGGACAGATTCAGGACATGATACTATTGAAGTAGCCTACTTGAATGGTCTAAATCAACGTGTTATTATATCAGATGGATTGGTGAACCCTAGAGCAATAGCTGTGGATCCTGTTGGCAGGTACGATGAGTGACCTTTGATATCAAATTTATTATCCTGTTACAATCAATCAATGTACTTACAATTATGGAGACACACTAGCAACATTGAACTAATTTTTGTGATAATTCTATCAGCAGCCTTCACTCATTGTGCCTTCAATCATCACTCACTCATGAGTGATCTGGCACAGTAAGCCAGAAATATAACTGAGTAATTTGGCACCCTGGCACAGTAAGCCAGAGGTACAACTGAGTAATCTGGCACCCTGGCACAGTAAGCCAGAGGTACAACTGAGTAATCTGGCACCCTGGCACAGTAAGCCAGAGATACAACTGAGTAATCTGGCACCCTGGCACGGTAAGCCAGAGGTACAACTGAATAATCTGGCACCCTGGCACAGTAAGCCAGAGGTATAACTGAGTAATCTGGCACCCTGGCACAGTAAGTCAGAGGTACAACTGAGTGATCTGGCACCCTGGCACAGTAAGCCAGAAATACAACTGAGTAATCTGGCACCCTGGCACAGTAAGCCAGAGGTACAACTGAGTAATATGACACCTTGGCTCAGTAAGCCAGAGGTACAACTGAGTAATCTGACACCTTGGCACAGTAAGCCAGAGGTACAACTGAGTAATCTGGCACCTTGGCACAGTAAGCCAGAGGTACAACTGAGTGATCTGGCACCCTGGCACAGTAAGTCAGAAATACTACTGAGTAATCTGGCACCATGGCACAGTAAGCCAGAGGTACAACTGAGTAATATGGCACCTTGGCACAGTAAGCCAGAGGTACAACTGAGTAATCTGGCACCTTGGCACAGTAAGCCAGAGGTACAACTGAGTAATATGGCACCTTGGCACAGTAAGCCAGAGGTACAACTGAGTAATATGGCACCTTGGCACAGTAAGCCAGAGGTACAACTGGGTAATATGGCACCTTGGCACAGTAAGCCAGAGGTACAACTGAGTAATATGGCACCTTGGCACAGTAAGCCAGAGGTACAACTGAGTAATCTGGCACATTCGCAAGTAAGCCAGTGGTACAACTGAGTAATATGGCACCATGGCACAGTAAGCCAGAGGTACAACTGAGTAATATGGCACCCTGGCACAGTAAGCCAGAGGTACAACTGAGTAATATGGCACCTTGGCACAGTAAGCCAGAGGTACAACTGGGTAATATGGCACCTTGGCACAGTAAGCCAGAGGTACAACTGAGTAATATGGCACATTGGCAAGTAAGCCAGTGGTACAACTGAGTAATATGGCATCTTGGCACAGTAAGCCAGAGGTACAACTTAACAATCATGATTCAACTTTTCAAACTATAATAATTGGTTTCAGCTATTTATATTGGACTGATTGGAATAGAGACTCACCAAAGATTGAAACTTCTAATTTAGATGGATCAGAGAGACGTGTATTAGTGAATACTGGATTAGGTCTTCCTAATGGATTGACCTTAGATTCAGTTAATCATCAAATATGCTGGGCTGATGCAGGTAACCACATTACATTTATTATTATTGACAAAGTGAGTCAAGAGGTCATCAATAAAACAACAATCTTATTTTTTCATCTGTGAACCATATACTGCCCTCAAATTGGGTCAATGAGTGGAATGCATTTTCAGTCTCTGTTCGAACGCATTCCAAAAACAGGGACTTATAGATTGACCTCTGTACGTTCCGATTTGTATCTTAGACATGTCTGGACCAATTAAATTCAAACTTCACACATACATAATATTATACATATGCACATCAATTTGTTTTACTATCTGATTCAAGATAGTCAAATGGCAGCCATTTTTGCCTTGTAAGGGGAAGATAACGTCATTGTTGTTGTTGTTGTTCACGTGACTTGTGGGTGTGATAACTCAAGTAATATTTACACAAACGGTTTCAAATTTATATATGTTATAAATAAACATGCAAAGATGACTAACAAATCAAAGTGAAATATCTTCAAATGTAATGCAATTACTAAATCAGTTTCACCTGTATCAAAAGAATATTGTGAGTACTGATTGGTTAGATGTTATAAATGAACTCCCTAGTGCTGGTTCAGAAAACCTTGGACTTGCATTATCAAAATGTTATATACAAGTATTAATACATACTCCAGCATTTGCAAGCTACATTCTTAACAAATCAAAAACCCCTCAATGCAGAAAATATAAAAACACCATCTTGTTTGTTATGTGAATGGGAATCATTTATAATTCACATGTATTTGGGTAACAACAGTTTTAATAGTGCAGCACGGTTAGAGTAATACATTAAAAGTAGAGAATTATTTAATCCTCTTGTAGAAAATGATGCCCATGAGTTTCTTGTGATTATATTTGATATATTAGAACAATATGACGTAAACAGTAATAATATGCCAGTACATACTTTACAAAGTATATTTATGGGTATCTATAATAACACATATAAATCAAAACACTGTGCATATCAGAATAATATCATGATAAAAAAATATTAGTTTTTATGAATTCACCAATTACAGTCAAGAACCATGTCACATAATTAGTTGGCAAGATTTATCTAATGATGTGAAAGATCAGGTTCAAAATAAGGCTGATGTTAGTTCATCTCTTCAATATGATATGTTACACAGGCAAATTGAGCTTGATGAAATAAAAAAGAGGCATGTGAAAGCTGATGTTATTGATCAAAAGAGGGAATATACAAAACAATATATGAAACAGAAACATGAAAACCAAGGTTAACATTTAGAGAAGGAGACGAATGCAATGAGGTTACATCACAAAATCAACACCCCTCTCCCAAATGTATAGCTTAGAGTGATATTTGGTAGTAAGAAATGTAAATTATGTTATAAATTTTCACTATTTCAAGAATTTAGCCAATTATTGGTCTCAACTCAAACGGTTGTATCAACTATTCCCTTGCGGGCAAGGTTTCAATAGTTTTGCTATGTTTGTAATAAAAAATCATCAAAATTAAGCATTTCTCGACTGGTTACAGATGGATTTTGTTCAAACTTGGTACATACATTGGACATTATGGGACCTTGATGAATGTCATTTTGTTTCTCAGATAAGATTCAAAATGGCCGACTAAATATTCATTATACATCATCTCATAGATATAAAGATATATTGGTTTGACAATCTGATTTAAAATGGTTGAATGGTGGCCATTTTTGTGCTAAAAAAATAATCAAAAAATCAAGCATTCCCGGCATTCCTGAACTGGATCTTTGTATACATATACTTAGACACCCCTTATATAGGATTAATCAGATTTACACTTCAGATTTTTAGTCCCCGTTCGGACGCAGTCCGAAAACAAGGACTTATTGTTTTGACCTCCGTGTGTCCGTGCGTGTGTGTGTGCGTGCGTCCGGACCTGTATCTTAGAAATGCCTGGACCAATCACAATCAAACTTCACACATACATCATACATGATATTATACATATGCACATCATTTTATTTTACGATCTGATACAAGATGGCCGAATGGCGGCCATTTTTGTGCTAAAAAATCCTAAAAATCAACCATTTCTCGACTGTTTACAGATGGATTTTGTTCAAACTTGGTATATACATTAGACATTACGGGACCTTGATGCAAATAATTTTGTTTTTCAGATCAAATTCAAAATGGCCGACTGGCGGCCATTTTGTATTAATGAATGTGGTTCTCGTGCCATATCTCTGACTTGCTTTCACTGATTATGTTCAAATTTTAAATATTCATTATGTCATAGATAGACAGATATACTGGTTTGACGATTTTATTCAAAATGGCCAAATGGTGGCCTTTTTTGTGCTAAACAATCATCAAATATCAAGCATTTCTGGCATTTATGGATGGATTTCGTTCAAACTTGGTACATATATTAGACATTACAGGTTCCTGATGCACATCATTTATTTTTCAGATCGGATTCAAAATGGCTGTCTTGTTGCCATTTTGTTTTAATGAATGGGCTTCTAGACCCATATCTCCGACTTGTTTTGACTGATAATATTTTCAAATTTTAAATATTCAATATACATCATGTCATAGATAAACAGATATATTGGTTTGACTATCCTATTCAAAATGGCCGAATGGTGGTCATTTTTGTGCTAAAAAATCATCAAATATCAAGCATTTATGGATGGATTTCGTTCAAACTTGGTACATACATTAGACATTACGGGTTCCTGATGCTCGTCATTTTATTTTTCAGATTGGATTCAAAATGTCTGACTGGCGGCCATTTTGTTTTAATGATTGGGCTTCTAGAGCCATATCTCTTAAATGCTTTGACTTATTATATTTAAATTTTATATATTCGTTATACGTTATATACATACATGTATTCAAAATGGCTGATTTTGAATGCTGTTCCAGAGCAATATCTCTCAATATGGACATGTACTTGTTTGACGATCAGATACAAATGTCAATCATTTTAATGTTAAAAAATCATATTCCTGTCATGGTTATATCCCAGCTATATTACTATAAACAAAACTATATATCTTAAATTTGATAACTAACAGGGACTGTGCCATGCATGGCTTGTTAAATTATGGAGACAAACTGTAAACTTTATCTCTGTTATTTGTTTTTTACACCACTCTTTTCAATGTGACTGTATATTTTAAATTGAGGAAAGTGAAAGTTTTGGACTGTTATTAGACAAAATTGGTCATCAAAATATATATAAATTGTCAAAATAGGCCCAAATTTATCTTGATATACCAATACTCATTTGTGTTTGATGCCATATCAGTCATTACTTGATAGCTTTATTTTTGTATAAGGACAATACCACCACAGTCAGCTGGTGCACATGTGATGATAAAATAAATACGATATTTACTATATGGGGGCTGAACTATATTGTTCATTTTCTAATGATATCTTCTATTCTTTATTTGAAATGTGCATTGCTAACAGCGGAGCTATCTCAGCGACAGGCTGCTTGTTTAATAATTGTTAACACATTGTTAACCCATGACACTAACTGTTTACATTGTAAAAACACTCTAGGCTTGCTCAAAATTCATGTAAGTTGACATGTCGGAAAGCAGATCTCAAATTCGTTTTATATGCAGAGGTAGATGCCAAAATTTGAATTCCGTGTGAACTTACATAAACTTGTATATGCTTATGCTTATGCAAATAGAGTACCTGATACTTTTATTTGATAGATAACACCCTCTAGTGGCAGATTTTGAACTGGTTTGGATTGCTTACTGCATTACTCCATTCTGTTATTTAGGTGAGAAGAAAGTTGAATGTATTGGGCAGACTGGTAATCCAGACACTCGATATGTTGTAACATCAGAAGCCTCCCAACCATTTGGTTTGACTAATGTTGATAATCAACTATATTGGACTGACTGGGAAAGGTATGTGAGCATACTTTTAATAGAATTATTTATCTGGATAATATTTTGGGTGTGAAAGATTGACAGAATGCAGTGATGTATAATTAGGTTTTGACTGGTCGAGTAAACCATACTGATTGGGTTCTTATGATACACATTTCCCTGTATATATATATATTTTGGTCAATTGTGAATTTTATAAAACTTGCTGCTGTTTTGAATATCTTTTAGTATGTTCTTGATTCATTAAATATTAATGGTTTTGCAGTCAAAACTGGCATACACAAACTAAATCATAGCCTTCCTGTCTAATCATTCAGAAAAGTTCAAGAAAAGAAATGCCTGGCTTTGTTCGCTTGTAATTAGTATTTAAAGCAATGACATCAGAATGTATGAATAAATTACCATTAGTGTTCATTCATGTCAAAATTACTAGTAATTTCTCCCCCAAACCTGAGATGCTATGTTTTAGCTTAATAAGTTGCTGCGGCATCCTGCAAAAACCTCTAATAAATTTGTGCACATAGTGTCAACTTAGAGAATAGAAGTTATTTCTGGCCTTGGTTCAAAATTACAATGAAAATCCTTATTTTGTTTAAAGTAGTTGCTTAGAAACTAGTTCCAGTTAGGTACAATTTAACTTTTGGAATTTGGATCATAGTAGTTTATTGTCATGTGTTATACGTGTCTAGTTTCTCCAGTTTACCAAATAACCAACAGGTTAGGTATAATTGACAGGTTAGGTATAATTTGTATAGCTTTGTGCAGTGGTAGTAACAATCATATAGACCATTGTGACATTTGAAATTAAACAGGCATTCTTATTCTCTTAAATGTAATCCAAGGTCATGTTTTATACCATACAAATGTTGAGCTAATATTATGTTTTGAAATCTGCAAAAACAAGATCTTCTCTAAGTAACCTATCTATGACTGTCTGATATAGAATTTACAACTCAGGTTGTCATTTATTTCAGAGATAACATTGGAACTGTTAGTATCAATGGTGGAAATCTTGGAAGACCAATGCAAACTCCAGTTGGTGCAAATGGTAAACTTTATGGTATAACTGCAGTGACAACTTGCCCTCAAGGTAAGCATATCCTGTGGTTTTAACAGACAGTGTGTGGTTCCCAGGTTAGCCTCACTAGTCCTCACCTATGGCGACAATTGCCCACAAGGTAAGCATA